ACACCTGCCCGCCTCCTGTCCCCCCAAAACAGTACTTCTATCTTGTCAGGATTCAACCTCAAGCTGTTAGCCACCATCCATCCTCCAACCGCCTCCAGACACTCACACAGGACCTTCACTGCCCTTACTGGTTCTGATTTAAAGGAGAGGTAGCACTGGGTATCATCTGCATATTGATGGACAGTCAGCCCAAACCCCCGATGATCTCTCCAGCAGCTTCATGTAGATGTTAGAAAGCATGGGGGAGAGGACAGAACCTTGAGGCACCCCACAAGTGAGAGCCCAGGGGTCTGAACACTTATCCACTCCCAGCCACTCGAGATACGTTTATTAACATTATCTGCTTCCTCCTATCATTCTTTTTTTTAAAAAAAAACCCTTACTTCATCCAGCTAGTCAACAGTAAACTAAAACAAAAAGAACTACAGCACATTCTTATTAGATTTACATTTATTGGACGTAATGGTGCTTTGCAATGTCATGGAAGAATATTAGGTGTACAGGGGGAAAAAGACTGAAAAATGACTTTATGTCACATAATGCAGTGTTTCTTCCCTAAGGTGACATTTAATGATTAAAATACTACATAGCTTGCAAAGGTATATTCTACCAAATGAATGCTTCAAAGATATTCCTGGGCTCTGAAGATCCTCGTTTTATGAGAGGGTTTAGGGATGCCTTTTAATAAGAAGCCTCACCAATATACAATATCCAGAATTATTTTACAAAACAGTCTCACCATCAGCACCATAATGACATAAATGGTGCAGCAGTCAAAAGAAATACCAATACAATACAACTCAATCATAAAAGCATTTACAAGGGAGGAAGCACCATTGAAGACAGTGAGGCCTACTTCTAATTAAGCATTTGTAGGATTGTTCTTGGAGAAGGAACTGGCAAACCACTCCAGTATTTTGCCAAGAAAACTCCATGGACATAAAAAAGGAGAAACTTTGAGAAGAAAGTGAGAATTTCCAAGGCATGCCCTGGTTCATGGGGTCACAGAGAGTTGACTAAGATGACAGAAGAAGAAGAAGAAGAAGAAGAAGAAGAAGAAGAAGAAGAAGAAGAAGAAGAAGGATTGTTCTGCTTATTGGTATATGACCAATATAAGTAGTGCCATGCCCCCTGTATAGCTGTGTGCTTTGCTTTGATCAGCAATATAACTGTTCCAGTCAGCTAAGCCCCACATCAACATTGCTTCAGTTTCAGGAATACAGTAACCCAGGAGTTGCTTATGTGGTGCCCTCCTGATGTCATTGGAGTAAAAAAGGTAAAAAGGTAAAAGGTAAAGGACCCCTGGATGGTTAAGTTCAAAGCGACTCTGGGGTTGTGGTGCTCATCTCGCTTTCAGGCCGAGGGAGCCGACATTTGTCCACAGACAGCTTTCCGGGTCATGCGGCCAGCATGACTAAGCCACTTCTGGCTCAACGACACAACACAACGGAAACCAGAGTGCACAGAAACTCTGTTTACCTTCCTGCCGCAGTGGTACCTATTCATCTACTTGCACTGGTGTGCTTTCAAACTGCTAGGTTGGCAGGAGCTAGGATAGAGCAGTGGGAGCTCACCCCATCATTGGGATTCAAACCACCAACCTTCTGATTGGCAAGCCCAAGAGGCTCAGTGGTTTAGACCACAGCTCTACCCGTGATCAATGCAATGATCAATGCAACCAATGGTAGTAGAAGTCTATGCATTCCAATGCTCCCCCCCCCCCGAAAAAAGAACTGTAGCTAAAGGCTCACCAGTGGTGATAAAAAAATGGGGGGTGGTATTTCCATTCTCCCTTCCTGTTATGCTATTAAAATATTGTGTTAGCTGCTTTATTTTTTTAAAAAAGTAAGAAGGCAGATGAGATAAAGTTAAAGGAAATAAGACATATAAAGGCTTAAAATACAACTTTGGCTGTTATCCTCTGTTTGCTTACCTAAAAGTAAGACACACTGAAGGCAGTGGACCTCTGAGTATTCATGCATATGATTGCATTGGCAGATTAAAAACTACATAGAGGTGAACTGTGCAATCTGCTTATTTCGGGCAAAATCAAAAATCAAAATCATTTTAAAAACCCATGAGTTCCTTTTCATACAGGACGAAAGGCATTTGTAGGTCTTGTTTGTGGTTCGAGGACGCGATCCCCCCAAAGTGGAATGAATACACAACGACACGGGATATAAGGTTAATGGGCAAGAAAAGGCCACAACTTTATTGATTACAGCAAGTGAAAAGGTATTGGCTTAGGCATTGGATTATGTCAGCTGACTCCACCCCCTCAGAGAGGGGTGAGTGTGAAACAAGGGGGGTTTATTCACCAGTAGGTGGAGCCTGTTGATGCTAATCCAACTATAGGCTCTCCCCTGATGTCACCGAGGGTCGTGCCATGGCCTCCCGCCAAGCAGGCATCGGACAGAATACACGACCGCCAGATTCCTTTAACGGAATACCCCAAAATTGAAGGCATAGGCAATGGCCACACCTAGCCCTTCAACACCACAACACATTATTCCAATGCCTAACCTACCCACCAATACCACAAAAGTTGTGACGATTGCTACGAGGTAGGCGAAAAAACCAAAAAGCCTAATGCCAAATGCCAAATGGAAAAATTCCTACCAGGCCCCCCGGACAACCAGGGCGACCAACCTAAGGTCCATAGCAAGGCCAAGGAAAACTAAGACCCTGAGCTCAAAGGGAGTGGAGGGTGGGTGACTCATGATGGGACGACGAAGAGTGAGGCCGAGGAGGGGCTGGCGCCACAGCATTTAGGCTGCTGTACACGCCCCCTCGGAGGCACCTGGTTGGGTGCCTGCCGATGGGCGTGGGTGCCAGCCAGGTGAGTGGGAGGCAGGGGGCTAACGCCCCCTGCTAGAGGTGGAGCTCAGGCTCCCACCCACAACCACTCCCCTCTCTTCCAGGAGGAGAGTCTTTACGAGACAATTGTGCTATAAATGTGTTTGTGTGTGTGGAAGACACAAGAACTTCCCACGCTGGAGGAATGGCAGATGAAACTTATGGACTATATGGAATTGGCGGAAATGACTGGTAGAATCCGTGACCAGGGAGAAGAGTCGATGGAGGAAGTGTGTGGTCCTTTAATAACAGCAAATATATATTGTTGAACAAAACCCAGGCAATGGAGAGAGAACAAAATTGAACACACTTACTTTGACACTGCTGTTTCCAAGTGCCATTTCAAGTTCAGCAATCAAAGTCCAGTCTTTAACTTTGAGGCAGTGTTAATTTGAGAGAGCTCTGTCCGCTGAGGTTCTGCTTCAGAAAGAGTTACAGAACACGTACCGTCATTTCTTTATAATTAGTGTTCACTGCCATGTTGTGTTCTTCTTAGACTGTTATTTCCCTTTCTTCAGAGAGCTGTCTTTCTTTTTCTCTGCGTGTCTTGATTGAGAGGATACAGAGTCTCTTAAAAGTTCATTTGAGTCCCAATCATACTATTAATGATACCTCAGGGATAGTATGTCCTTTCTTCAGGCTATACTGTGCAAGGTTATTCTTGTTAGCAGTGACTGCTGGCAATGAAAACTGAGAACACACCAAGTTCAAAATGGATTCTGTCTTTCAAGCTCTTCCTATAATGACTCCATGTTATCCCCTACTTTTAAACTTTAATCAGCTTCATCAGATTTAGATAAAACCCAGTTTCCTCCCCAATAACTTTTTCTAAAATATGTCAAATTAAACTTGATGACTCACACACAAAGTGACATAAAGCCGTCTTTCTCCACCATATTGATCTGCTCCTACTTCATGCTAAGCAGCCCATCTCTGCCCAAAACAGCAGTGGGATTTCTCCATCATCTTGGAGCGTGCTGACAATTTGCATAGTTCTTCTGATGGCAAAAACTGATGAAATGTTTTTAAAAGTTGCAGTAGGTTCTCCATCCCTTCAATCTATGTGAATTCAGCAACTCGGGTTTGCAATTGACACAGCAGACAAACACACCATCAGCAAATCAATTAGCTGCTCGGTTGCAGAAGGGATAAGAAACCTGCTGTTAGACTCCAACTCCCATCAACCCAGTCAGATGGGCGGGGTACAAATAAATCATCATCATCATCATCATCATCATCATCCAGCTTGGTCAACCCTCAGGGATTATAGGAGTTGCGGCCCAACAGCATCAAGAGGACCACAGATTCCCCATCTCTGAGCTGAGGAGTCCCAATTGGATACGGCCATAGACAGTGCTGTTCCATTCCTAATACCGTATTGGCCCGAATATAAGCCACAAACGCAAATAAGCCACACCTTTAAAATTTGGTGGCTTAGGGGAGGCTTGGGAGCCACAGACGGGATGGGTGCTATTGCCCCACGGTCCTGGGCTGCTCTCTGGGGTGGGGTGAAGCTGCGCCGCTTTGCTTGCAGTGTAAGGTCGTGAATATAAGCCACACTTTAACTTTTCACAATCGGAAATTGGAAAAAACTTGCGGCTTATATTTGGGCCAACACGGTACTGTTTCAAGGCTACATTCTTCTAGGAACCAGAAGCATCGCTATACTTTCAATGTATTTGTAACGCTTTGTGAATCTCTGTCCTGGGTACAGAGATGAAGGAGGACCCTTGAGACTCCGGCTAATGAGCTGTCCAAATTAGCTACTGCTGATTGTTCCTCAGCACTGTAGATCGAATGGTACATCGCGATGAAATGTGGTGAGGATGCTACCACTATCCACAGTGGCGGACCTTGGGGTCTAAAATTTCACTGGTGCCCTGTGTGACCCCAAAATTCAGTGACCTTCCGCCTCTCACACCCCATTCTAAATAATAGGTGTACAGAATTTTTTAATTGGTTTAAATATGTGGTATTTTATAAAGGTTTTCTCCTGTGTTCTGTTTGCATTATGTTCAGGTATGACATTTTCTTCACCACTTTTTCTATCTTGATATAATGAGGAATTGTATTATTTTTCCATTCCTAATACTGTACCATGTTCCTGCTCAGAAACTGCTCTCTTCCTTGTCTTTCTTTCCCAGCGTGAAGTGTATCCATTTATCACTGCCTATTGCCTCTTCTTTCAGCTTCCAGAAAAGTGGAAGACCTCCTGACCACCATTTCTGCTGTGGCCATAAGATGCTGTATTTTCTAACGGCAACAGTAACAGCTAAAGACCAAAGACCTTATCCTGCAAAGCTGTTTCACCCCAAAAATCTACAGCAGCTTGTTCCACTCCATCCTATTCCTGGCAGGTAGGAGGCAATGATCCACTGCTGTTCTGCCACTGTGCATAAACCATTTTTGCCCTTAGGTTTAGCTGCAGCCACCAGGTTTGTGCCAACTTCCCTGGAATGGTAGTGGCACAAACTGGATATCACATAATGTGATAAGTGTATAATTCTCCTCCCATCATTTCCATTTGAAGCGTTTCAGTACTGCTGCACTTAGATGGAATGTACTAGGGTGGCTGTTTCGATCTCTGCACTTGTTTTCACAGGGTCAGGAATAAGAGATTGACTACAACCTTTTCGCAAAGTGTGCGTCCCAAAGCCTTTTATTGAGTTAATGCAAAATTGGCCCTGCGCTAGAATGACACTACCATGTTGCAGTCAGTCGTGGAAATTGGTAAACCGGCTTTATGAAATCGGCTAGTTCTGTTTGCTTCACCTGCTCTTCATAAAGCCTGAGAGAAAGCAGTGCCTGTTTCCGAGGTGGGGTGGGAAGAGAGTGGGGGATAGTTGAGAGAAATTTGGAAAGAAAGCAGATATGGATAAGTACTAAAATGACGCTGCTTCAGTTTGCTACTGATAAAGGACAAATGGGAGAGCTGTGGCCCTCCAGATCTTGACCATTGACACTTCCCATTGATCATGCTGGTCAATGAAAGTTGGGCGCTGTGGGTTAAACCACAAAGCCTAGGACTTGCCGATCAGAAGGTCGGCGGTTCGAATCCCCGTGGTCACAACTGGACCTAATGGTCAGGGGTCCCTTTACCTTTACCTTTATTAGGAGGGCCACAGCTTCCCTACTCCTTCAACAAGTGTTGGTGTCTGTTAACCTCTCTCTTACATCATGGATGTTAGCTCATATTATGGATGTACGATTTGTATTGTTTTATTGGCACTGTTGATGCAGGTTTGTCATGGCCTTTGGCTAGAACTCTCTCTCTCTCTCTCTCTCTCTCTATATATATATATATAAATAAATATAAAGGTAAAGGACCCCTGGACGGTTAAGTCCACTCAAAGGCAACTATGGGTTTGCGGCGCTCATCTCGTTTTTAGGCCAAGGGAGCTGGTGTTTGTCCACAGTCCTTTTTCCGGGTCATGTGGCCAGCATGAGTAAACCGCTTCTGGCACAACGGGACACCATTATGGAAACCAGAGCGCACGGAAATGCCGTTTACCTTCCTGCCGCAGTGGTACCTATTTATTTACTTACACTGGTGTGCTTTCAAACTGCTAGGTTGGCAGGAGAAAAAGTTAATATATTCTAAGGGAGTCCATTGAGCTTGATCTACCTGAAAGTGCCACATGTAATATATGACCCAGAAAGTAATGAAAAGTTACACCTATTTGTCCCTGCATCTACTTCTTGTCTTTTTCAGAGTCAAAACAGAAAATATATATTTTACCTCTATGTGATACAGATGCCAAGCCATGAAATAGACGAGGGCAAAACCAATGTTGTGGAATGTTTGGTAAACAGATTGATAATATCCTCTCCTTACTTAAAGTATATTTTAGATCACTAATAGGGCACAGTAGTTTTAAATAAAGTTCTGTCAGATCTGATGAGGTGTGACAAAAGTACTGGCTCACTCAGGGAGAAATCGAAGCCCATGATCTGCCGGATGAGTGCAGTTTGGAATAGGAGGATATTTGCTTGAGTCGAGAAATGGGGGCTAGATAGGTCGGGGGAGATGTATTTATTTTAAAGTCCACTCAGTTTGCTAAGGTGATTTAGCAATCTAGAGTAAGTTACAATGGCAAAAAGGATGTTGCAAGTCAAAATCTATTTTAAAGGCTTAAATGGTTTCAGACCACCTTTTAATACATGATCTTTTTGGACTCGGCCAGAGAGACTCCTATTCCAAATTCAACCCAGCCCAGTAGATCTTGGGTTCGGATTGCTCTCTTAGTTTGTAAGTTGCTCCAAGAGCTTTGACTGAAAAGCAGCTAATAAAAAATGTTTTTTGGGGAGAAAATATATATATGTAGAATTGCACACACATCACTTTTACAGTGGTACCTCGGGTTACATATGCTTCAGGTTACATACGCTTCAGGTTACAAACTCTGCTAACCCAGAAATAGTGCTTCAGGTTAAGAACTTTGCTTCAGGATGAAAACAGAAATTGTGCTCCAGTGGCGCGGCGGCAGCGGGAGGCCCCATTAGCTAAAGTGGTGCTTCAGGTTAAGAACAGTTTCAGGTTAAGTACAGACCTCCGGAGCGAATTAAGTACTTAACCTGAGGTACCACTGTAATTTGTATGCCACTTGGATTCAATTATATATCTTGATGTTTCATGCAGTTTATGAATTTCCTAATAAAATCAATACTAATAAACAACAACAATAATAATTGTATCCCACCCGTCTGACTGAGTTGCCCCAGCTACTCTGGGTGGATTCCAACAGATAATTTGCAGCGTCTATTGTGTTTACTTCCAAGCTAAACCACAAGGTATGCCACCACTGATTCAATTTTACAAACAGGTAAGAGAGGCAGAAATATAGTTACTTTCCCAAGGTACCACAATAAATGTGGGGCAGAAATGTTTGTTTAACAGAGGGCTCCACTCTGTCCAATCCTCCACTAACTGGACCAGAGCAGTTGAATATTGAGGTTGAAATTAGGTATTATATACAGGGCTAGGGATGAAAACAGCTGCATCTGAGTTTTTTATTCCCCATTCCCAACCATCACATCCTAATGTGATATGTTTCTCTGTGGAGAAGGGCGGAGAAAATGCAAACAAAAGATGATGTCACAGTATGGTGATTGTTCTTAAATATTACTGGATGGGGAAAGAGAATGCAATAAGGTGAAACAATCTCTAATTTTATCACAAAATGCAATATGTCAACAGAAACAGATTGGTTGTGATGGATTTTTAAAATCATAATAAAAAACAAACAGTTTAAATACAATTCTTTGTATATGATTGATTATTCATTCATATCATTACACCTGTTGTGTTGCAGATTTCTTCCCCACTGATGCTCTTGAAAGAGCAATCACGGAGGCACCATGTAATAGAATCTTCAAACACCCGGATCATTACAAGCACTATGTGAAAAATATAATCATGTAAATCTTCTCAAGACATGGTTCTATGCATGCAGCTTCATTACTTGCCCCTTTTGACAATTTGCATTAGTTGTTTCACAGCTGACTGCTATCACAGTGTCTTAAAAATCCCATCTGCTCTCATGAGATGGTGATCGGAACATATTAGAGAAGCGAACATATATAGATATATGCATTTATCGGCAAATGAGAGTCCATTAAGTTTTGAGAAGACACACTGATTCCAAATGAAGTGGCCTGGAATGCATTTGTTGCTGGAAAACCAAACTTGAGGAGCCTCTGAATACCACTGCAAGGAATGGACTTGGTCCTCAGCAAGGAGGAACTGGTCAATGAAGTGGAGGTAATGGGAACCTTGGGAGAAATGATGGTCCTCTTTGGTTTTACAATACAGAGGCAATGGAAAGCTGAGTGTAGTCAGACATGTGCTGTGGACTTTAAGAAGGCTGATTTCCAAAAGCTTAAGGAACTACTGAGTGAAGATAGTGTAGTCAGAAATACTCAAAGAGAAGAGAGTCCAAGGTGGATGGGAGTTTCTTAAAGGTGAAATATTGAAGGCACAATTGCAGACAATTCCAACAAGAAAGAAAAGCGAGATGAATGTAAAGAAACAGGTGTTGTTGCAAAAGGAGCTGATTTTTAAGAAGGGCATTATAAGAAATGAAAGAAAAGGGGCGGGAGGCTAATGCTATTCTAGGCTGCATCAACAGAAGTATAGTGTCCAGATCAAAGAAGGTAATAGTACCACTCTATTCTGCCTCGGTGGGACCACACCTGGAATACTATCCAAAATTCTAAGCACCGCAATTTACAGAGGAGGGCACCTGAGATGATAAAGGGTCTGGAAACCAAGCCTTATGAGGAACGGTTGAAGGAGTTGGGTATGTTTGGCCTGGAAAAAAGGAGAATGAGAGGAGATATGAAAGCCATCTGTAGATATCGAAAGGGCTGTTGCATGGAGGACTGAGCAAACTTGTTTTCTCCTGTTCTGGAGGGTAGCACATGAACCAATGGCTTCAAGTTGCAAGAAAATCATCAGGAAGAGCTGTTTGACAGTGGAACAAACTCCCTTGGAAGGTGGTGTACTGTCCTTCCTTGGATATTTTTATACAGAGGTTGGATGGCCATCTGTCATGGATGCTTTAGCTGAGATTCCTGCATTGTAGGGGGTTAGGCTAGATGACCCTTGTGGTCCCTTCCAACCATAAAATTCTACGATACTATGAAAGGGATGCTCTGCTGTGGCATCTTTGATCAATTTATGGCAACATTAACATTTTGAACGATCGTTAGTGGATTTCTTTTCTGATACTGTTCTGATGGAAGGCATCATTAACATTTTGAATGAAAATTACACACAGAACCATCCAAACTATAGTTTTCTCTATTCCAAACTCTGTTCAGGAGCAATTTGACTTACAACACCACCCTTTTTGCTGGCTAAGTCCTGCTAGATCATGTGTCTGAGCCGAAAGGGATTTAGAATACAGTAGGTGTAAGTTTCTCCTTGTTTTGCCCTACATCCACAATGTCCTTTTGGAATTTATGTCAGCTTAGGTTCTTCCAGCTGGGCTGCAACCCAAATTTATGCAGGAATAATCTCCAGCTCAGCCCAAGATCCACCAGATCAAAGTTCTCTCATCCTGGCTGGTCTCGGGATGTTAAATCATGCTCCCCTTCCTTCACCGTTTAAAACTTAAACCTTTTTTCTCAGCAACCTCTTAAACAAGCTGTTTGTTGCAAGCCATTTGCACACTTAGGACATTTCTTTGCTACAGCAAACCAGACAACATTCATCAATTTGTCAGGGTGAGTCAGAATAACACTGCGGCATCTGTCTGCAGGGTGTTAGTGCTGGACTGAAGTTGAATCATTGTAGCAGCTCCACCTCTTTATGGAGCCCTATGTTTGGCTTCCTGTCCAAAGGACATTGGAGAGAGCAAGAAGGAAGAAAACCTGAAACGTAACTTGCTGATCTCATCTCCTTTTTCTGCACTGTGCTGCTCCTCGCCCATCTCTCTGCCCCCACCCTCTTCTTTCTCTCCCTCTCCCTTCTTTTCTGTGGCTTGACAAGCTCTAAGCCACATTTCCTCCCTGCTTAAAAGCTTTCCCGAGCAGATTGAGAAAAGCGACGGCACTTAGTGTTTACTTCTATAGTAGGATTTTATGTAGCTGTAATCTCAGGTTCTTGCTCCCCCAAGGTCAGGCGCAATCATCATAGATTCTGGATCATAAACCATACCTGGATGAAAGTAAATAATCCTTATGCATTAGAGGACTAACAAAACCAGCAACAGACAAGGCATATTTTAGATACCATATATCACTGCACTAAACATAGTTATTGGCATGGGAAAAGAGGGGTTATTGGGGCAGAACCTGTAACATATTCGGATTTCCTTCGGAAGGGGTATTATACTGGCTAACCATGAAGGGGAAAATTGGTGATATGAAAGGAAACCATTTCAGCACTCAAGCCTGCAGTTTATTTACAAGGAATTAAAATGGCAGCAGGTAAGAATATTCACCATATAGAGCTTGCAATGCAAAAACAAGAAGAAGAAAAAGATTCAACACAAAGAGATTTCCAGCTGCATCAGAATACAAGTTTTGATGGCGTCTCAAAACAAGACACTTCCTAATTTGATCTCTAACATATACACTTGTTAAATATGTTTTGTGCATATATCACCTAAGCAGTCAGTGATCCATCATCAATATTCCTGTGTGAAATATCTGGATGATTTGATTAGATTTTAAAGAAGAAAGCAGGCACTTTATTATGGTGACTACAACCTCCTGAATTCCTTGGTGGAAGTAAAATGGAAACCTTGTTATTATTGACTGTTGTCATATTACTGAAAGACACAAAGGGAAAAAATATCAATTTTTATTTAAGGATCAGGAACAATCTGAACAATAAATAAATTGATTTTCTGTTGGTGATATGGACATGATACAAGCTGTGTGTGTTTTCATTACGGCTCCAGCAGAGCAACATCAAACACATTCGGTTCCTTATGTCATTTATTTTTACCTGTGTAATTGAATAATTTATATATGACGTAACAATGAAATGGGATTTTATTCTGCATTGATAAAGCAGTATGTTAATAACTGTTATGGTTTATGGCCAAACATATAATTATAATAATACTAGGGGGGAAAGATAGCATTTGGATCTACTCCTGAGGAATAAAACATGTATAACTGTTATTAAACCCCACCCCCAAAAAAGAACCCCAACAACCGCCAGGAGTTCATGTTCACTCTCTTTGAAACCTTCCAGGTGGGCAGTATTCTCTTTTCCCCTTGAAGTAAAGCCCTGGGACAAATATACTTACTTCGCTTCACCAAACATTTATTAGGCATTACAAATATAGGTCATCATAAAACACCCATATATAACATTTTAAAATATATAGAAAAAAACAGCCATGTAAAATACGTAATAACGAGGATTTTCATTGGAGTTTCTTCCCGCTAAATAGTAGGTTGGGAGAAATATAATGGGAAACAAGATTGCAATATAAGCACAAAAAATCCTAACATAAATGCCATTTGGAGTGGCACAGGGCAAAATGCAGACTTTAACTGAGATCTGCTTGACCACTAGATCACCCAAATGGCAATTCTGCCACTAGAGCGGGGGAGGAGGGGGATTTGGACATTTCCCATATTTGGAAATTCTGGTTTTCATGCATCAGATTCATGAAATGCAGATGAATTTCATACTAACCCAAATGTCCATGCCTATTATTAGGACATGGGTGGTGCTGTGGTCTAAACCACAGAGCCTAGGGCTTGCCGATCGGAAGGTCAGCGGTTCGAATCCCCATGACGGGGTGAACTCCCGTTGCTCAGTCCCTGCTCCTGCCAACCTAGCAGTTCGAAAGCACGTCAAAGTGTAAGTAGATAAATAGGTACCTCTCCAGCGGGAAGGTAAACAGTGTTTCCATGCGCTACTCTGGTTTCGCCAGAAACGGCTTAGCCATGCTGGCCACATGACCCAGAAAAACTGTCTGCGGACAAACGTCGGCTCCCTCAGCCTGTAAAGCGAGATGAGCGCCGCAACCCCAGAGTTGTTTGTGACTGGACTTAACTGTCAGGGGTCCTTTACTTTTCCTTATTATTACTAGAAGTGTGCATGCACATGAAAGCTCATACCAATAACAAACTTAGTTTGTCTCTAAGGTGCTACTAGAAGGAATTTTTATTTTATTTTATTACTACTGTTCCAGTTTGATCAGTGCTCTCTCCTAACATTTTGTAAAGTGACGGTATCAGAAAATGTAGCCTCGCAGAATGGCCATTAACCCAGCAGAAGTTTGGAAGAAGACACTAATCTGGAGTGATGAACCCTTTCTCTGCTTGTTGATGACATTCCCTTCTGGGGGAAAGGGGCAAGGGGTGGGCAGGGCTGTAGACAAAATGGGTGGAGCACTGGATCCAAATGTTACCTTTGAACACAGGAAAGCTCACCCGGCCCAGACATGGAAAGGATTGAGAGATTGATAGCTCTTTCTTGATTCTGTGGATGGTGGTGCATGGCTGTTCTTAACTGTTGGAGTGATTTGTCTGGTTAATTCCGATAACAAGCGAGACTCTGGCATGCTAACTAGTTATGCGACCCCCAAGCAATGTGGGTTTTTTTGTGGGGGCTATCTGGCCAACTCTCTCCTGGCAACGCCTCCCCAGCTAGGATTCAGTAACTGGCAGAGGTAGGTGGCTACCTCCAGGTGTCCAGCTGGGGGGGTGGGGCGCAATCCAGGCTGGGAGCCACATGGGATTGGGGGAGGGCTGCGTGTGCCTGTGCAAAAGGCACCCCCCATTTGATGTGGAGAGTGGTCATTGTATTTTGTAGTTTTATATCTTGATTTTATTCTGTGAACCACTCTGAGACCCCTGGATACAGGGCGGTATAAAAATAAAATAAAATAAAATAAAATAAAATAAAATAAAATAAAATAAAATAAAATAAAATAAAATAAAATAAAATAAATGAAATGAAATGAAATGAAATGAAATGAAATGAAATAAAATATTTTGAGTTGAAAGGGACCACAAGGATCATCTAGTCCAACTCCCTGCAGTGAAGGGATATTTTGCCCAACGTGGGGCTCGAACCCACAACCCTGAGATTAAGACTCTCATGCTTTACTGAGCTATCGCTCAGTAGGCTAGTTTCTGTGCACATTCACACAATCCCATGCAATCATCCATCCAGGCAAGCGAGAGGCATTATCAGAGTTCCAGGACACATTCCAGCTAGGCAAAGACACTCAAAGATGCTGACCACTTCCATTGCAAGGATCCTTCAGAAGGAAGTTGCTGCCAGGAACATTATGTGCAGGTGTATTTTGATGCATTGAATGGAATGAAAGTTTATGAGTCATGGCAGTGGAGAAAACATCTGTACAAATTCAACAAGGCTCTGTTTGTTTGTTTGTTTGTTTGTTTTGTTGCTATTTTGTTAATGTTGCTAATATTGTTTTATAGATACAAATGCTGTCGTCCTTTGTGAATCCTATAATATGATCTTTGGTGTACCTGTGATGTCTAGCTTATTTTTTAGTTCTTTTGTTAAGAGTGTTACACAGATGGTAATGGTTTGATTTCTGATTGTTTACTGATGATTTATTCTATAGGATTTATGCTGTATTCATGATGTTCCATTGTGTTATTTCTATATTTTGTTTGTAAGCCACTTTGAGATTTATTTGAATAAAAAGTGTCACAGAAATAGAATCAATCAATCAAAGATGGTGGGAAGCTGAACCACAAGGGGGTGAGACTGGAAAGGTGTCGTGGCCAGGGGAGAGTTTTGAGGCTCAGGTCAAGATGTTTGGAGGACTTCATTTGACCCCCAGGCCTGAGTTCCCCAGCCCTGCACACAACGAACACTGTGCTACTGACAAAAGGGATAAGTCCAAAGCCTTTAACCCACTTAAAGAAGAAATATACTTCACAGGGTGAAATCATATGCCTCTTCTTTTACTGCAAGGTTTGTTATATGAGATTAGCCTTTGCCACTCATATAACAAACCCTTTAGACCTGCCTGCTTTTGTGATACAAGGATGAGCAGTACAAGCTCTCAAATTATAAATACAATTCGACAGCATGGGCTGCTCACCCTTGAATCACAAAAGCAGGCAAGACTTGTATTTGTGCTTTCAAAGAGCACTGCATTCATGGCCATAGAGCAGTAGGCTCTGAGGAGGCTGTAAAGAAACCGCCAAACTCTAGGCTGAGAAAGAAAAGAGAGCGGGGGGGGGGGGGAGAGAGACGACCTTACAGGATTCTATAGAACTATTAATCTTTACTGTATTAGAGAAAAGCTACCCAATTACCTATTTCCCTCTGCAATGTAGCAAGATGGCTACTCATATTGGTTGCCCTCTTTGACTTATCCCTTTCTCTTCACTTCTCTCAGACCCTCCAATTGTTGCTATTTTCCAGGGACGGTTCCAGATTTACAGAAGCCGTTTCTGATGCCTTTCCTTAAAAAGGTAAAGGTACCCCTGACCGTTAGGTCCAGTCGTGGACGACTCTGGGGTTGCAGCGCTCCTCTTGCTCTATAGGCCGAGGGAGCAGGCTGGGTCATGTGGCCAGCATGACTAAGCCACTTTGGACCATAGTCCATATTTTCATTAAGCCAAGGAGTTAAGTAACTATACAAACATTAGAAGACATCTGAGGGCAGCTCTGCATAGAGAAGTTCTTTTTGTTTTGTTTTGTTTTTAAAAAAAAGTTTAATGTTTTATATATGTTGAAAGCTGCCCAGTGGCTGCGGAAACCCAGTCAAATGTGAGGGGTATAAATAAAACAACAACAACAGCAACAACAACAATAATATTGACTAAAGGTAAAGGGACTCCTGACCATTAGGTCTAGTTGTGGCCGACTCTGGGGTTGTGGTGCTCATCTCACTTTATTGGCCAAGGGAGCCAGCGTACAGCTTCCGGGTCATGTGGCCAGCATGACTAAGCCGCTTCTGGCAAACTAGAGCAGCGCACGGAAACGCCGTTTACCTTCCCGCCGGAGCGGTACCTATTTATCTACTTGCACTTTGATGTGCTTTCAAACTGCTAGGTTGGCAGGAGCAGGGACCGAGCAACAGGAGCTCACCCCGTCGCTGGGATTCGAAGCGCCGACCTTCTGATCGGCAAGTCCTAGGCTCTGTGGTTTAACTCACAGCGCCACCCGTGTCCCTAATATTGACTAGGATGTCCCTATTTTCATCGGAGAAATGTTGGAGGTTGTGTTCACTGCCATTCCCCAAAAAATCTTTCGCATGGCTCTGTTGCATGTAGGCCATTCTCCCTGGGACCTGCATAACTGTACCAAGTTGCCAGTATGAAATGCCAAACCAAAATAACAACACTGTGACCCTGTGCTCTGAACCTCTTACCCTTTCAGTGCATTTGCACCTGTGAAATGATCTTTCTTGCCTGAATCTCTGATTTCTCTAGAGGAAAAAGATGGATGCAACCCATAAGCAGCTCTCCCTTTTTGAGTTATGGAACAGGTTTTTAACTTAATTTTATGGATTTATTCAAGCAACTTATATACCACTTAACTATGACAATATCTGGTTGGTTTGCAAAGATACAGTACAAAAAATCCACAACCAGTTAAATTTATAAAATCAAACTTCAGTTAAAATGTTTGCTGGAATAAAAAAATAATACTTCAGTTTGGTGCCAGAAAGTCAGTAGAGAGGGGCTTGCCTGACCTCAACTGGAAAGGAGTTCTACAAAATTCATAACATTTATGACAACTAAAAACTTAATAAAAAGGACACTTGAAGAAGTGGTTCTGCCATCCACAAAACAAATCTTTAATTAACTGGATCTCCTTGTTTTATCAAATCAATTTGCCTGCAGAGTTGAGAGCTATTTGAAACTCTGGATTTTATATGCATAGGGAACACAGGTACCTTGAAATGTGCCTACTGAGTTGCCTGGCAGTTGGGATTTAATAAATTTGGTGCATATTTAATATGGAATCATACATCACAAACAGGTGCAATATTTAAAAACATGCCTGTAGCATTTGCTGAACAGAAAGTTGCGCGTCAAAGGCAAGGTGATGGAGTACTCATAAAAAAGGGCAAATCTCTTGCAGTTTTTTCTTCCTCTGGCGCTGCAGGGATTGTTTAACAGACACTGATGTTGAATAACATCTTGTCAAGGCAACATTGTGTGACATGAATATTTTAAAAGAACACACACCTATCAAGACAAAAGTATTCCCATGTCGACTTTGAATAGCCACTTGACCCACTTACTGGCAAAAAAAGAAGTAGTAATGAGAATTGCATCCATTGCCACTGTTCATAGACTCGGCTGCATGTGTGTAGGAGTTGATTTAATTATTGCAATTTCCCCATGGAAATGGGATAAATACCAACGAAAAAGAACGGCGGGACTGAATTCCCTTTTGTTGATTCCTTTTGTCTCTGTTTATTGCAAGCAGGCAATTTTGTTTTTATTGCCACTCAAGAAATTATTTTGCATAATTTACTCGATGTAAAGTCCAGGACCTGTCGGAGAAGAAAGGTGGGGGCAACTGGGTCGGTGGGTGATAAAAAAGAGTACTGTTTCTACAGTGCTTTGATAATAGTCATGGAATGCTTGAGGGTGAAGTAGCCACAAAGTTGGGCTCCTAAGTCTCTCTCTCTCTCTCTCTCTCTCTCTCTCTCTCTCTTTCTCTCTCTCTCTCTCTCTGTGTGTGTGTGTGTCTGAAATGAAAAATATCTCTGTCATGCTGTCTCTCATAATGAAGATCCACTGGGGTTTAGCCATCTCCACTGAATGAATGAGAGAATCTTTATTCCTGGTGTTCATACTTGAGCACTGAGAAAGCACTGCAACATTTTTATATCTGATAAAGGATGTGGGACGCTTGTAGTTGGTGAGAGAACTGAGTTATTACATACAGTGGTACCTTGGTTCTCAAACTTAATCCGTTCCGGAGGTCCATTCCAAAACCAAAGCGTTCCAAAACCAAGGTGTGCTTTCCCATAGAAAGTAATGCAAAATGGATTGGTCCATTCCAGATTTTTTAAAACAACCCCCAAAACAGCAATTTAACATGAATTTTACTATCTAATGAGACCACTGATCCATAAAATGAAAGCAATAAATAATGTAGTGTGGTCACACAATCAATCGATCAATCAGTAGCTGAACTGAGTTCCACACAGTCACAAAAACAAAACAAAAAAGGTGCAAAAACAAAAATGCAAAATAAATAGCAAAAACAGACAGACCTCAGCGTAACACTCAAAACGGAAGTGTGGCACTCAAAACGGAGCATGTTTGACTTCCAAAAAAAGTTTGCAAACCGGAACACTTCTGGGTTTGCAGTGTTTGGGTTCCAAGTTGTTTGAATACCAAGGCGTTTGAGAACCAAGGTACCACTGTGTATATATTCACTGTCCCCTATATAATGATGCAAGAAAAAGATTTTTAGTACTTATAATGACAAGGTCCCCTGGCCAGAACCCCTCTGACACGATTTTATATCTCCTCGCAGACACAGATAAGTATGTGACCTGGCGTGTAGCATTCTTTGCAACTGCTGCTAGGAAAATTAGAGCAAATTATATAGCCAAGGTAGCCATCAACTGTAAAGGAGATGAATTTATTTGTCCCTATCTATCTACATCAGGCTATGCTCTGTCTTTGTCACCAAATTCCGAGTATAAATTGCACACTGTATTAATTGACATTGTTTTTTGATATATTAGTGGCCATGTGATGATTTTAGCTTATGAATCTTATTGTTTAATGTCTTGATCTGTATATTGGGGTACTTTTATAGCTCTGTTTAGAGTACGTAATGTTTTGATAATATAAATGTTTTAAGTCTTTTGTATCAATGCAGTAGATTTTCTTTTAATTGTCGAATGATTCTGTGTACATTGTGGCAGCCTTTGGCTATGTGCAATATAACTGACTGACTGACATTGTGTATATATGTGTGTGTGTGTGTGTGTGTGTGTATACACACACTTTTTTGATTGATTGATTGATTGATTGATTTGACTGATTGTATTTCCAAGCCACTTTTCATTCAAATGAATCTCAAAGCAGCTTACAACCAATAAATAACCAAAACATAATAAAACGTTATAGCACATCGCAAATACAGTGTACATCATATAAAATAATTA